AGCTTTTAACAATAACATTTTTTTAAAGTTCAGGCAGTAAAGAAAAATCTCAGCCTAAAAATGGCAAAGGTGCAAGAGATTGTATTGGGACTTTTCAGTTTTAGAGGAGGAGAAGCCCATAAAAAGCCTTGATATTGATGCTGTAATCCCAGAGATTTCAGTAGTTATTCCTAGTCAGATGTATTAAAAGGGAGTTAATATTGAGAGCTCTTAGTAATTTAGAGTGAAAATGTAACAGAGTGGTAGTTCTAAATTATGCCATTCAGCTTTAAAACCATTTTTTAAGACATCAATTGTGCACTGTGTGTGGTAATAAAAATGTCACAGATTTTGAATCAATACATACTAATGTGCAGAATGTTAGGCTGTAATAATTTTCAAAGCTCTACTTAATATTTCTTTCTTTATCCTCATTTACTTTGCTGAGTGAAATGGGGACTCCTACATTGTTAAAAAAGAGGTATGAGTAGAACATACCTTTACAGGCATTGATACAAGAACCAGTATGGGTAAGAAAAAAGCAGTTTTGTCAACAGGTACATGTTTGTCCACATAAGCCTTGGCCAAAATGAAAGCTGTGTCTCCTCTTTAGGGATATTTAACTGCTAAGTGCACCCAGACACAGACTGCAACCCTCAGGTGATTTTCCACATTGAAAAGTTGTGGCTAGTTGACAGTTTGCCCATCTTTGGATTAAATGTGGAATTGGTAGTAATTGTGTAACTGTGAGATCAGCTGTGAGTTAAAATTTGTGTTTACTCCTGATAAAAACTCCCAATCTGCACATAAATAGGGCCATTTATCAGTATTCAAACACCCTCCGATTTGGAGGGGAGAGGGGGGAGGATGCCTTGTTCTAGAAAAAGAGTATAAAGCAAAGCAGTCCTGGTGAGAATAACATCAGATGAATCCTTACCACCCCTGGGTGAACACCAGGCACTCTGGACCTTGTGGCTGTGGAACTTAGCACAGCAGAGAGAGCCTGGTGAAACATCCACAAATTTGCTTCCCAGCCCAGTTGTTTATCTTGTGTATTTTAAATACTGAGATTATCACTACAGGATTAGTAGAATCCATCAGATCTCTGAAAGGGCAGCTTCAAAGTTGGCTGAACCCCCACTGATGGAAGTGGTGAGGAATGCAGAGTGTGGGAAGCATCCATCAGGAGAAAATAATGCCTTGATAAAACAAGGATTTGTGAGAAGGAACTGCTTAGCAAACACTCAAGGTTGTAATGACTCCTGTTTGGATATACAGATAAAAACTCCAAGCAGGAGGAAGCTGATACAGGAACTTGGAGCCTTCTAAGAGCTTGGCTTCAAAGCTCAGTTTCTTTACATCTCAGACCAAATGGGTCAGTGCCAAGGATGGAGAAGCAGGTGGTGTTTGTAAGCTTTACTCCATGGACCACAGCTCCATTTCCTCTCTCCTTTCTGCTGCACTCTGCAGTCAAGAGTGTGATACAAACCCTGTACTCATCTAAATCAGTAATTAGGCTTTAATATCTGATCTCAGGGCACTGTGGGAATTGCAGGGGTCCTGATCTTGTGGAGTGGATGGAATGGTGTGAGCCTTGCTGTGGAGCATCCCTGTCCATCTTGGAATGCTAACTTTGATCTCAGTGTCAGCTTTGGTGTGTGGAAGTGGGTGTTAGGTGTTTCTAAATGTGAAAACACAGTACCCTTTAGAAAAGAAATATATATATATTATTCATTTCTCCTAAGGGAATACTGGAATCTTTCTTTCAACTTTCAGCCACAGATACAGTTTCTAGTTTAAGAGGCAGGATTTTCACGTTATGGGGTTTTTTTTCCTCCCACAGCCTCCCCAGCTGATGCCTTTTCCACTTATTAATTGGTATCCTGTCCTCAGTTGAGGGAGGGATGTGGGATAGCAAATTAATTATATGGGGTTGAACTATGATTCAGGGCCATGTTTCTTGGACTGCTAAGCCTGTTTTGATGAGCATGAAAATCCAGAAACACCTAGCAGAGATTGTTTCCATCCTCTGGAGTAGATTTCCAGTGTGTAAAGGAAAGCAGTGGCTGTATCAGGAGTTTCCTGTTGGTGGGTTAGTGGTGGAGCTCTAAGAAATGTGAGCCAGGATTGACTTTTGGCTGTCCATTAATTATGCTGGGCAGGCAGGACTGACATGGAACTTTAGCTTTTCTGAGCCTTTTCAGCTCTCCATGCTTTTTAAAATTACTTTAACATGATGGGGGCTTTTGACAGTGCATTTTTTGTCTTTTCATCAGCATTGCTCATGGCATTAGTTTTAAGTGGGCAGCAGTCTGAGGGGGGCAAATGTCAGGAATTGCAGTCATGGAGGTGGCTGTGGGACAGTCATGTAACAAAAGTAACTGGATTAAGCCCTTAATGCCACTAGAGAAAAGGAGATTTGTGTGCCCAGCTGCCTGTGAAGCCAAATAGTTTGTTAGTTGCATATGCAAAATAGGATTGGATTAAAAAAAAACCAAAATGGGAGAAGGTTTTGTGACTTGAGCAGCAGCTCTGATCAGTGCCACCTTGCAGGGATCTGTGTTGAACAACCCCAGCAGTGGCCCAGCAGAAGGGTAAACAGCTTAATGGAATTCATCAGGGTACTACAGGTAAGGCTCTGCAAGCATGAAAATAAGCAGAGAACTGAGGCAGGAGAACTGATATTAGCAGAACAGAGAAAAAAAGCAAAGTCAACTCAACAAACACATGAAAATAACCCCAGTGAGGGGGTGGCACCCTGAAAACTGGGCTTAGGAAGTAATCCAGGTGTGGTTGAAAGCAGTGTGAAGTGATAACAGGGAGCTGTGGCTGCAGAGACTTGGCATCTGGTCCTGGAGCAAATAAACCTGAGTTGTTGACTTTGGGGCTTAGCTCAGTAGCAGAGAGAGGAGAAGCTGCTGGGTATGTGACCACATCCAAGGCTGGGGTGTTTGTGACTTACAGGATTTAATGCAAGGGTAGTGGATTTGGGAGTCAAGGCAATTGATTACTATTTGAGTGGAAAATACTTTTTTTTAATGTATTCCACTGATTTGTTTAGCATTTAAATACATTAGTGTATTGCACATTTTACTATCCCTTTCACGCTTCTTTTTTAAGCTTGCTTGAAAATATGTTTAGGTGGTACCTCCTAAAAATTCAGGTATAATATAACATATTTCACATTAGCAACTAAAATGCTTGTTTGGTAAAGTCATTGAAAATTATTCCTTTTTTATCAGTTACCTGCTAAAAATGAGGACATTGTTTCAAAGTCAGTGAGAGTTCACATGAGTAATCATGAAGATCCATTTTGAACCCCCCTTGTACTCTATAACAATAGAAGAGCTACAAACTTTATTTTATTTTCTTCATTACTTATTATGTCCCCTTTAGAACCATTTCTTTATTATAGTCTATCATGTAAATATTATTTGGACTACTTTTAGAGTACACAGTACTATAAAACTCCAATTACTTACTTTGACAACTGTTATGTTAGTTATTAATATGCACTTTAAAGCTGAGAGTTCTCCTGCCTGTTTAGTCACTCTGTGGTTTGGTGGTGTTTGTTAAAAATTATATGACTGCTCATACAGCATAAAAATGAATTAAAAAAATTCCTCTGCTCAAGAGCATTAGGCAGTACAAGCTCCCTAGGAGGCTTTTGGTGGCCAGTGTTTTTCATAATTGCCTGTTAAAGAGTTTCTTGCAATGTAGCAAGACATGTTAACAAAGAGGGGCATTGTTTGGGGTGGATATTCCAGATTCTTTAGCTCTGCACTCAAAATCACAGAGTAACCACTGGGGTTAGAAAGGACCATGTATTTTAAGGAGGAGGAGGAGGTGGTACTGGACTCATGTTCCCCAAACACCATAACCCATTTCCTAGCCTGACAACATTCCCTTTCCTTTATTTGCAAGCTTAGAGTTTCCATCATGAAGTCTGTGAAATGCAATAGGCCTTTGTGGTAATGTGTTTACCCTGGGAAAAAGTGGATATGAATAACTAAATTTAAATACTGGATGTGGGAGTGTGAGGCTTTCTCAGTGGTAATGTAGACACGCCTTCATGCACCATACCAGGTGAGATGGCACTGCTTCAGGAAAGGTTGTAAAAAGAAGAATAAAGAAAGGGTTATATAAAACAATTTAGTATTTCTGAGGGAGACTCTAAAATTTTCTGTCGCTGTGTGGTACATTTTTATTAATAGGCTGTAATGTACCTTTCATCATCATTCAGATGTAACTGAGGGAGGCTTTTAGAGCACAGCAGTGACATTTCCACAGTCTTGACAATAGTTAATCTATGTCCTGCACTTACCAGGCAATGGTTTCAGCACCATTGTACTCTGCAGTTGCATGCTGGGGTTTTACCCATCTTTTCAGCAACTCTGCAGCCACTGTTGGAGGGATGTTAAATGCTCTGAGTGTGTTCATTGTTGGCAAGTTGTTGGTATGCTGTGAAAATGCTCAGTTGAAGGTACTGCTATGAGTTTTTCTCTGGAGGGAGCCTGATTTCTCCACTGCCTGTGTAGGTGATCTCCACATCTTGCCTGTGAAGTTCCCTCTCACTTCCTCCATGCTCAGGAAGGCACATTGTGTTGCTATTCTGGGGATTTTTCATGGGCTTGTTTTCCCCTGAATGCAAGGGCCCATGAGTTGATGGGGGTGGAGCCAAAGTCAGCACAGGCAGATCTCTCACAGGAACCTGCAGATACCTATGTCCTCATTTTGCCATTGCAGATTTGCATTTGCCATCAAAGTGCATGTTGTGTTTCCTTGTCCACACGACTCCTCACATGTGCATGGGGGTTTGTAAAGAAAAATGGAATTGGCATAATGATGAAAAACAAGCAAATTCCTACCATGTGTCAATGTGTTTGCCCTGACTTTCCATCTGGGCTGGAATTCATAAGGCAATTAATGAACTTTCCACGTGACTGTGTTTTATGTACCCAAGCACTCTTTGGTCTCTCACCCCTAGCTGTGGAAATAAAGTCTCTGATTCTGATTGCCAGAACCCCCCTGATTGCTGCTGGAGTCATTGGTGGCCTCTTCATCATCGTCATCATGGGCCTGACGTTCGCCGTGTACGTACGGCGCAAAAGCATCAAGAAGAAGAGAGCGCTGAGAAGGTTCCTGGAGACTGAGGTGAGCCTGGGCTGCTCCTCACAGGCTGTCTGGGGAGGTATTCAGGGCGGCTCTGCTTTTATATTAGACGTGTTCAGGTCTTCCCTTACCTGTAGAAATCCTTCTGCTTACCTGTACAGACTAAACTCATTCAAGATGCTGCTTTTCTGCACAAGTACTGATTCGTAGCTTCTGAAGACCAGGAAAAGTTTCCTACCTGATTTCTCAACTCCCATCCTGCTCTCCACTGAACTTCTATCCCAGTTCATCAGTACATTTAGCAGCTCTCATGCTTAACTATTACAGGGTTTCATTCTGGCCATATTTAGATTGACTTTTAAGGCTAAAGTTCCTTCAGCAAGCTCTGGCACAAACTTCATGCTTAAAGGCAGATGTTGTAACTTGCTGTTGTTCCAAGTGCCTACAATACCTTTCTAGTCCAGATTTTGACGAAATTTTGTAGTTTCAAATTTTGTAGTGCAGATTTTGTCAAAACCTTGTCATAATGATCAGTAATAATAATGTATTTTATTAAGCCAAGATACTCCACAGAGCTTAACCAACTGAAGTCCACAGTTCTACTGGCAAAAGCATGTAGCAGAGCTATAGCAGAGTGCTGTGATGGCTCCATCCTGCTCTTTGAAGTGTCACCAGTGAAGGGGGCAATCTAGGAAGTATATTTAAATATAACATTAAACGTATGTCTATCAGCTACTGCAGTGGTGATTACTGCAATCTCCTCAGTGCAATATTTGAGACACTTTGCAAATGATGGTATTTTTAAATTAGGGTGCCCCTTTGTGAGATAATAAAGCTTGGAGATGCTGTTAGCTAGTGACTCTTTGATAAGGCATTATTAACAGTGCTGTTTTCTCTTCTGTTCCAAGGGTCTGCTCCCACTCAACTCCACTGTAGAGCCTGGAAGTAAATGATTTATGCATCCCCAGTCTGTTTGCACAAGTATCTCCATGTTTGGCTAGAATTTGTGTTGCTTATTAAACACTGTTCAGCTGTATAGAAAGCTTAACAATACTCAGTGCCTTTAAATGAATAAATCTTGCCACTGTATCAGCCCATACTTAAGCATAAATTATTTTAAGCAGGTGGTTCTCCTTGCTTTGATGTCCAGATTTCATTTTTCATTTGGTCAGATAAAAGCTGTGGCTGGCAATAGTCCTGAGGGACCAGGGCCTCCTACTGAACATGTGGGGAAGCTGCTGTTTTGGCTGAGAAACTTAAGATTAAATCAGGAGCATCCTGAAATAAACACACAAGCAATTAGCTTTAGTTCAAGTCTCTCTTTCTAATTGAAGGCTGTAACAGGACTTACTCTTCCCATAGATCATTCTCCATCAAACCCTTCAAGCCTGGTTTTAGATCCCCACAACACGTCCCCACCTCTCCCTGCCATTCCTGTGCTGGTGGACTGTGGCACAGAACCTCTCTTCATCCTTCACAAACTGAAAACACAGAAGTGTGCTGCCAGTATGCCTAATTTTCTTTTAAAGCAAACCTTTCTTTCATGGTATAAATACTGAACATCTAAAGTGGGAAGGAGGAAAGAGAAATCACTCAACTTGTTGCTGTTTGGTTTTGTTATCTTTCCTTACCCGTTAATTACCAGGTACTGGTATTTTTACCTGAACGAAACTAATTAGTTTGGTCAACTAATTAAGTAGTTCATGGTGCCCAAAGAGCTGTAGAAGTAGTTCTCAAACTGCAGAGCATGGTGCATTTAGCCTTGTAAATAGGCAGCTTTGAAGTGCTGCATTGTTTTCAAACCAATTTGAGTAGGAGAAGCTCTGGATTATTTTCCTCATCCTGTGAAGGAACAAAATGTTTTTCATGTGTTGTATTGAGTATTGTGCTCTATGTGTATTTTTAATTTAGTTTTAAAGAAACGTTTTTCTGGCAGAGATGGTATGAGATCTAAGAGCATTTTTAACTGAATGTGCCATTGTGGCTCATTTACAAAGTTTCTTGGGACATCTTGAGGAAATTGTTTAATTGCAGTAAATTAGTGGTGGTTATAAATTAGTTGTCTGCTCTAAGGTGTTTTCTCCCTAAAGCTGTCTTCCTGTGTGGCAAAACAGAAGTTCAGAAAAACCATCCCTTCCTCAAGACAGAATAAGAATGTGATGAGCCGTTTAGTCCAGGCCATTAAAAAGAAATATGGCCAACTTAAAAGACACTAAAATGGGCAAAAATAGGATGTGGTACACTGATAATAAATGCTATATTTCTGTCATGTAGAAAATATTTATACTGCCTCCATTATCAAAAGTCCTTGGATGTGTTACTCTGACACCAATTCAATTTGCAGTTCATAATTCCATCATGCAGTTTCTGGTGGAAATTACTGCTTTTGAGTGAGGACTTGCTTTATCAGGTCTTGTTGTATTGCAGTACCACACATGGTTCTTACGAGGTCTCTTGGTTTCGTGGCATTGCTCGTTGGCTTTTGAAGATGAAAAATCCCTCCAGGAGTTGGCAGGGCAGGGGTCAATAGATCTCCTCTGCTGTCTTATCCCAGAATTTCTGTGGGTTGGTTATGGCTCTAAATATGAACTTGTGAAGGGTCTCCATGATGAACAGTGTTTGGGAGTGTTGGTTTTCCTTGCAGCTGGTGGAACCCTTGACCCCGAGCGGCACGGCGCCCAACCAAGCCCAGCTCCGCATCCTGAAGGAGACAGAGCTGAAGAGAGTCAAAGTCCTGGGCTCTGGAGCCTTTGGAACAGTGTACAAGGTGAGAGCCTTCCCCACACAGCCCTGAGTGCCCTCTTTTACCTCTGGAGCAAGCAACTTCTGCATTGCAGCAGAGCAGCCTGTCCCAGGGGTGGTTCCTGAGCCCTGCAGAGCAAGGACACTGGAATTGTGTGCAAGGAACTCATCTATTGTATTAGCAGGGAAATGTCCCAACAAAGGAATGATGCATCTGACTCCATGTTCTCAGAAGGCTCATTTATTACTTTATCATACTATATTATATTAAAGAATATTATACTATACTAAAGAATACAGCAAGGATACTTACTGAATGCTAAAAAGATAATAATGAAAACTCCTGACTCTTTCCAGAGTCCTGACATAGCTTGGCCCTGATTGGCCAAAGAGTCAAAACAATTGACAGCAGAATCCAATGGAACAATCACCTGTGGGTGAACAATCTCCAAACACATTCCACATGAGCACAACACAGGAGAAGCAAATGAGATAAGAATTGTTTTCCTTTTCTCTGAGGCTTCTCAGCTTCCCAGGAGAAAAAACCTGGGTGAAAGAATTTTTTCAGAGAATGTGAATGCCACACTCATCCTCAGCATCAAATGGTAACATGCAAATATTATTTCTTGGTGAGCAAAGACATGTCAGCCCCAGTCATTTTTATGTGCCAGAGGGCTACCCGGGCTGGACTGTCCTGCTGGCAAAGTGCAGCTCCAAGGTTTGCCCTTCTGTTCTTACCTTAGAACATCTTTTATCATATTCCAGCTTTTGGAAAGATGGGTAACTGGTGTTTTTCATTTCACAAGTGTCACCTGGCTCTTGCAACAGCAATAATACCTAGTAAAAACAATGCCATTACCTAAACTTCTTGTTTCTTCCATATAAACAGAAAAGATGAGTTACTTCAGGGCACCCTTTAACAACTGGGATGTGAGAGTGGAACCCACAATGGAGAAAGTATTTCAGTTAAAGAAGTATTTATTTTTTATGATCTGTTGGTCATGTCCAGATCTCAGAGGGATGAACTAGGGCTTAGGGGTCAAAGCAATTCCCCAACCCTTTGGGAGCAGCCCAAAGCTGCTAAATCAAGGTGGTAGGTCAGAGCACCTGCACGTGTCCTCAAACAGGGGAGGAAAGGAAGGAAGCACAGAGCAGGTCACTATAGCTACAAGGTGTTGGAATAGATTTATGAATAATGGGATTGAATATACTTAGGTGATAATACAGTGATAGAGATGGATGCCATGAGGTTGACAAGAAAACAGCAATAGTCAAGAATGATAGAAAAGTAGCCCAGGACGGTTTGTGAATTTTAAATTTAAATTTCCTTTTTAGCCGCCTAAGTTTTTGATCCTCGAGTATTTGGTAATTAGACAAACAGCCCATAATTTTTTCACTCTAAATATATTATTTTCAGGATGTTCTGTTACTTCATGATGTTATGATCTGCTGATAATCAGTTTTGAGAGTTTACTAATAGCTTCAAATTTGAGCATCAGAATCCAGACAGAAAATACACATTTTTGTTTAATTATATCCAAACCAGTATCAGAATTTTATTTCAGTCACTAGAAAATGTGCATCATGCCATGCTGCCATTGCTCTTTACAAACCCTGTTGTGGACAAGAAATTCAAATGTTTCATTTTATATCAGAGTTTAGTTTTGATGTAAGAAGTGGTTCATGGATTTTTTTTGTACTTTTGTGTATTCTCCATTCTGTGATCTGCATAATATGACAGAATGTGTCAAAAAGAACTGTAACTCTGAATCAAGTTTTTCTGATTGTTGTCTTATTAGTCTTCATTTTTTTCTTTTTCTAGGGGATCTGGGTCCCTGAGGGAGAAACAGTAAAGATTCCTGTGGCCATTAAGATCCTTAATGAGACCACTGGTCCAAAAGCCAACGTGGAATTTATGGACGTAAGTAAGACACAAGCAGTATTTTTGAGTTTTGGCAGGGGTGGTGTCTTTCTGTAGCCCACAGAGGTTTTAAAGACAAATTCCTGTCAGTTTTATTTCTTTATATTTAATTGTACACAGTGCCTGGCAGGGCAGGGTTTTCTACTGCACGTCCCCCAAGATATTTGGAGTTTTCCAATAATTTGTTGTTCTGACAGTATCAGACTAAAACTCCTCTGTCTCATGGGCCAGATATTGTATCTTTCTGTGGCAGAAAAGACATGGAAGAGAGAGGAGGAGTTGCAGGGGAGGATCTCACCATGCACGCAGGTCTGTATTGGTGTAGAACTCAGAGGAACAGAAATTCAGCTCAGTTTTCTCCCACTTTGGTGTTCCAAGACTCTGGGAGCTGGCAGCAGCAGCAAAGCATAACAGGGAGAAGGGGAAAATTAAAATATGCTGGATTTAGAAGTCCTTTTGCTTTACTAATCTGAAATACCATGGATAAGAGGTCAAGATGGTAATTTCCATGAATGTTCTGTGATCACAGAGGCTTTGCACTCAGTTTTCAGCTCTGTGTCAAGATCAAGACTTACTGACACCATGAATCTTTATGTCTTATTCAGTGACAATTTTTTGACAAGTCATAGAAATTTGCACTCTTTTTGTAGGTCCCTCTTGTGAACTTAAAAATTGCATGTGACTTTTAAGTCTTGCTGGTCTGTTCAGTGTGTAGGCCTAATTTGTTAGCATTAATGAGACTGTAAGCCACAAGGAGAAGGCACTCCCATTATTGTATAGTCTATTCTTCCACCTAGAAGTGAACAGAAATGTGCAGTTATGGATTGATGTGTTCCAGACAGCTGGTTCATGTCTGAGTTCTTAGGCAGTTGAAGGAAGGCTGTGGAGAAGAAGGAATTTCCTGTGTTTTTTGCAGAGCACTGCACATTTATGTTGGTTAGATCATTTCCAATCTCGATGATTCTATCATTCTGTGGTTCTGTTGCATTCAGTAATCACTTTGCACAAATAATAAATTTAAAAAGGCAGTTTTGGCACTGCTTAAAAGGAACTAATTGCACTAAAGGGATAACAAGTATTAGATACTTTTGCTTAATAGACAAAGAGTCTTGCTAATAATAGAGCTGCTCAAAGAGAAGAGGTGAACTGGATGTCAGTGGTCAGTCACTGATACAGATTCCAGCCTAAAGGTACTGTTATCACTGTGTGGAACTGAGCAATTTGTACCAGATCAGGATCTGACCCCTGATCTGATAGAGAAATAGCAGTAATAGCTCCTCCTCTGATACTGATTAACCTTGAAGCAAAGAAAACATAAGGTCCTTGGTAGAAGGCAGAGTTGCTTGTCTGAGGTTTCACAGCTCAGCTTAGGTCAGTTTAGTTCACTGGACCATACTTCTCCCCACTGTTTGCATCAGAACATCTGATAAATGGCTCAGAAATGAAGAGACTTTGGGGAACTCTGGAGATTTTTGGCTTTACAGTTACAGTAGGAAAGCTTTCTCTTTAAATTAATATTTTCTCCCAAGTCTCTGACCCAGTGGCTGCAAGATGAGAGACAAGTTAAAGTTGTTTTGAGTTCTTGAGGTTAAAAATAACCCTTAGGTTGTTTTTAATCATAATAAAAAAGAATTAGACTTCATCATTAGTTGATACAAATGGTAATAAGGAGAAATAATAAGTTTTCTATCAGTGCTCCTTTTGATATACATGCAGTGATTTGTAATCCTTTTCTGTACTGCATTGATGAAGATGATTAAATTTCATTCTTGTGAAATAATTGCTCATCCAATTATACAGAGGTTCTTGCCATCCTTACCTCCTAAACCAGTTGTTTAGTTTCTGAAATAATACATTTTTAAAGAGAATGACCTAAGCATTATTTATTGTTTTAATGCAACTACTCCTCCCTGTCCCAAAAAAGACATAGTTTAAAACATTTAAAAATTTAAGGTAAAATTTAAATTATGAGGACATAACCTAAATATCTTTCACTGAAATGTGAGTTAGAGTGAAAAATTGTGTTTTACTCAGTGTCACTTCAAGACTTTGGTCAGTATAAAACTGGATACTGTTTTCTCATTTTATAAGGAAATATTCAAATGTACATCTGAAAGCAGAATGCATCAGTTGTACTTCAGTAAAAAGAGTGTTCTGAATAATGATTGTTGGTTAAAAGCACTTGTGTCATATTTTGAAAGGTATATAGGTGGCTAAATGCCACTGTGAGCAAGGTGGGGTTAATTCTTTCTTAAAAAGGGTCTGCCAGTGTTGGCAGTGAATGGGAAGAGGAGGTTGGTGGGAATGTGTCATTACATGAGTCACACCCTTGGCTTTGTAGGTGTGCTTTTGTCACCAGTTCTTCCTGGGTTGGGAAAGTCCTTGTACCTGTAAATAAAAGTTAGCATTCCTCTTAAAAAGGCTCTGGAAAATGGAAAGCCTTTGGTAAGCAGCAGTTTGGGTGCAGAGGGAGTATTTGGGACACTTCACTGGATGTGGATGTGGATGTTAGTGGCACTGCCCATAGACCTGCTGAAAACTTCTGATGCTGGAAGAATGTGAGTCTACAAGGGCTCTGTGAGCTCCTGAAATTCTGCTAACCTTTATGCTGAAGGAGTAAAGAAAGCAATTTGGCTCCTGGGCTGTCCCTTCAGCAGCCTGCAGCCCTGCAGCCCTGCTAATGGAGCAGTAATGACTGCAATAATATAATGCCTGATGGCAGCTCTGCTGCTCTGGCCAAGCACCTCCCATCAGGAGATGATGGATTGGCCATCATCCAAAAGCACAGCCCTTATTTGGGATTTTTCTTTTGAGGGAGCCACACCAGAGTTAATTTTCCAGGCTTTCTCCACCCATTCCCAGCTAGCCCTTTCCCTTTGCTCCCTGTGTTTGTCCCTGGATTTATCACTGCAGTAGGTCTGTGTCTGCTACAGCAGTACAAGCTGCAATCTGCTGAGTAGCCTGGACCAGGGCAGAGCCAGACTGCACAGGAGGCCTTCTCTGGATTTATTTTCACCACACACAGGTTGCTGTTACTGTTTTGTCAAATATGGGTTTACCCCATTTCCCCACATCCTTCTGAGTGTGTATTGTATCTGGGATAATGGCTAAAGGATTTTTCCCTCAGCATGGTTATGTGCTTAAGTTGCAGGGCAGAGTTTCTGCTCTGGCAGGTCCCCAAAAGGGGCTGGAGTTTGAATTCAGAGTGCAAGTGCTCTGCCTGCAGCTGTGTCTGGCAGGGAGTCACCAGCAAGAGCCAGGGGCATCAGGAGGAAGCTCAGTCCTGCTTCTCACCCTAAGGCTGGGAACAGAATTTATCATGGTCCCGAGTTTTATGGAGGGAAGAGAATCTTGCAGTGAGGAAAACAGGCAAATGTGCAGCTGAGAGGCTGCTTGATAGCAGAACAGGGACTTACAATTTCACTTGGGAAAACAATTTCACCTTCTCAGCCTCAATTTGTTTGACTGTTATGATTGTCTGCTATGTCAAGTAGCCATTGGCCTGGTCAGATGGTTTAACATCAGCCCAGATACTCAACTGACAATTTAATAAATTCTAGAGACATGCTGCAATTGGAAAGCATAGCAAACAGCCTTTGAGGCTGAAAACAGGTCCTTAAAAAACTTGTCATGGGGAAACAGCCAGCTGGTGAGGGCCTTTCCTCTAAGCTTGATGTTTCCAGGATGTAATCCTATGAGCTGTGGTTGTGTCCAGGATTTTGATCCACTTACAAGTTTAATCTATCCTCCTTGAGTTTAAATGCTCCATTATCTGTTAGAATATAATTAGAGGCTGCAAGCACAAGTCAGCATCCACAGAGTTCCTTGGGAGTCCCTGAGCTCATTGAGATGAAGACAGTTTGACTGATGGTGGTCAGCTGATATTGGGCCAGAAGCTAATAATAGAAGGCAGTGCTGCTTAGCTAGGTGAGAAAGTTAACTTGGGAAAAATTAAACTGAAGGCTTTGGGATTTATGGTTGGAAATAAATTTCCCATTCTCATTTGTTTCCTAGTAAGAGAGCTTCAGAGGCAGTTGGTTTCTTTTATGGTTTTATAATTAAGATCTAGAGGCTTCCTGGCTTGGTCCTGTGCTCACTGCAGTTGCTGCTGTCTGCAGTGGCAGCACTTGGAGTGTGGGAGGACATTTGTCACACCAAGTGCAGAGGTGGTAAGTGACAGTGACCTCCACCAGACATGTAGCAAGCAAATTAAAGCTGCATGTAGGGGACTGACACCCACATATTTTATTTATGTCTGGCCTAATGAACTAAATGAATAAATCACTCAGATGTGCTGCAGAAAAAGCTTTTTCTAAATTGTATGCCTGTCTTACAGTAAAGACAAGCCCTCAGCTTGAGGATATCAATATCAAACTTATCTTCAGTTCAGAGGATTGAAGACCAAAAGAATCATGTAGCTGACTAGAGACTTCTTTCTCCTGTTCAGCTGAAACCCCACAGAGATATGGATAAGCCTAGATGCTTGCTTTTTTTCCTCAAGTATGTCTAGATATTTGAGGAAGTTCAGGTGAAGAAGGTGAGAGAAGACTTCACTTTTCTTGGTATCCACTCTTGGCTTCAGACACAGGAAGGTTCTAGGCTGAAGTTTTTTGGTTCTTTGCTTGGCCCATGGTGGCATTCATAGATCCCTTGAGGCTACAGACACTCTGTGATACACAATTCCTCAGCTGACACAGCTGCATTTGTCCTCAGCCTCTTTGTAAGATCCTGCCGTATGTGACTATGAGGGTGACTGGTTAAAAAATTTTTAGTATTTCAAAAATTAAACATAGCTACATATCTTTCAGTATTACTATATAAGTATATAGTAATATAAGTTAAGTATTTTTTAGTATTCTGTGTACACATCATGCTCCTGCCCAGACCAGTGTTTGATCCAGGTCTTCAACAGACCATGCAGATGCTCCTGAAAGTCTGAAAAGACATTGCTACCAACAGTAGTTGGATCCAGACATTCCACTGCCTGCCTGGCTGCTTGG